ATATGTTTATGAGTTTAACCTAATCTACATCAATGTCGAATACACAAGAAACAATCAGCAATTGAAAGAGCTGTGTAAAATATAGGGATAAAATGCTTTATAATCTGGAATTTTGGGTTTTAAGAAAATTTTAGATTTTTTCCTCGATTATGACCAAACTACCAAAGATAATTAATCATTTATAACATTAACTATTCAATCATAAAACTTTGTTAAGTACACAACGAATCAGAATAAAAATATGGTAATATTGTAATACTTTAATAATACTTTACCTAAGTAATACCTAACTGGTAACTGCATAAGAACCTAGTACCTACTTATTTTAGTAATCACATAAATTATCCTGGATATTGTTTTTTTTAGGTGGTTCAAATACATTACCTAAGAGTGTATTCAGTGCAACAGATTCTTAGTATTATTCATATCTCATATGTGATTATTCTTCTTTTCTTTAAGATTTTAGCTAGCATTATTACCACATTATATTTATTTGGTGTTATAATAATTTTGATGCAAATAGGTGTGTGGGATAACATTCCTACTCATCATCTCAAAATAAGCTACAGAAATAGGAACAATATATCAATGAAATATGACATAAACAATTGATTAAGTTAATTTAAAGATTGTTATTTTGGGGGTTTTCTTCTGGCTATTGCCTATTTGGTATAAATTTTTTCAGTCCCCCGCAAGGAAAAAAAGCGGGTAAGTCGTGTATGTTGCTCTGCTGTACAGTAGGTTACAAGTGGGTTACTGTAATGGATCGAATTAAATTTGAATCCAATGATATTATATCATTAATTGTATACAAAAAACGATTCTGAGCGAAGACGGTTTATCTATCTAGGATATATTATAGATTATTAAAAATTTTCAAATCTTAGATTTAAAAAGAAAAATTTTTATGAATTTCTAGTTTGAAATAATTTGCGAATTTTCGTGATTTTTACATATGTTGTCAAAATTCAAACTTTGAATGCTTATAAAAAAAAATTGTGACTATGAATTTCTTTTATTTTTCAACTGCTATTGTAACAATATGTTAAGAGCCTTGTATTAAATTTTCAAGCTTTTCTGCCWAACAAATAAATTTTTATCGATATTAATTTAAAAAAAACTAATWATGATCGAACATTTGAAATGCCTATGAATAGTTCAACTTAAGTCGAATTTTTTTGAAAATTGCATGGTGGATAGAATATACTTATATAAACATTAGGTGAAAATTTCATGTATCTATGGTCATTTGTTTTAAAGTTACATCAAAAACCAAAATCGATTTTGTCGAAAAATGAGTGTGCGTAAAATTTCCCGTTTTTCCCTTAATTTTTAGTTTGTTTTTCTCAATTATTTAGAAAAGTATTAAGAATTTTTCACAGCATAAAAGAATATGTGATAGTAATAAACTTAAGCTAATTACTTGGATCACTGGCATATTGGTTCAAATCAGTAATTCCTTCTTGTCGTAGCACTTCATCATCGACTAGGAACTGCCCAGTACAATTTTCAACAGACCTACTAAGTACAGCATAAGCAGCATCTGCCATAATTTCTGGATTACGAGATAACTTTTTTGCTTCAGTTGAGCCAGATAACATTTCAACAGCTGCAGTGTATATAGCTGTTGTAAAAATATATAAAATTAAATAGGTTAGATTTTAAATGTTAATTGAGTAATAATTGTTCTTTTCAAATGTTTAATTTTTTAAGATTTTTGATCAAATATTTTAAGTAGATAAATAAAATACTTTTTTTAAAGCTGTGTCGAATGTTTTTTGGTCAACATGATTAATGATTCAACATTATTTGTATATTAATGTAGTTCTTAAATTGGTGAATTATTTTTAAAATAGGGTTTAGTTTTGAGAAATCCCATTTACAATTAAAAAAGTTTAACAAGCATACAAACAAAAGTTTTAATGAACAATCAAATTTTTTACTAATAAATTCAAATATTTACTGAAAAAACAAAATTATATGAATTAATATTTGTAATCACTTTTATTTTTCGATTGAAATGTATGCAGCGTAATCTGGCAAAGTTTAATATTTATATCAATACAAAGTACCACTAATTGAATTTTATCAAATAGCAATCTAATGAATATTTAAGTGTTGGTTTGCAATTGAGAAAAATATTTATTTTTTTTGTAATTGTATTTTTGAAAATATGGTAAAAGATMATTTTTAACATTATTTTAAATGTCAATTAGGTGGTGTTATAGAAATTAATGATTGAAGGAAAATATTGCATCAATGGAGTATTGATTTATAGGGAGATTACTTTGAAGTTAATAATATGTATTTAAAATAATATAGTGTTAATAAAGTATTAGTTAAAAAAAAAATCCATATTTGATTACCAGTTTTTGGCCATAAAGCATTTACAGCAATGTTATCTGCTCTAAGCTCAGCAGCCATTCCTAATACACACATTGACATTCCATATTTAGCCATTGTATAAGCAACATGGTCTCTAAACCAATTAGGATTCATGTTTAATGGAGGACTAATGTTTAAAATATGTGCGTGTTTGCTTTTTTTCAGATGAGGTATACACATCTTTGATCTAAAACAAAGAATTTCTATAAAATTATATTATCAACTCCAAACAAGTGTTTATTGGAGGAGTATCAAGTATTTTATTATTTATAAGTGTTTATATAATAGTAACTTATTTCATTAATAAATATATGTCATTATTTAAAAAAGTAACTTAAAGTTTATTCAATAGCTCTGACACACAAAAACACATCACTCAACTATTTACTAAGCGTCTAGCAGGATTCCAACCACTGGTGTACCTGACAAATATTTGTCACTAGTGGAACTTTCCATGTTATAAGCACTGTCTGCTAGTCAATTATTTAGTCATTAGTGTGTTTCAGAAGGATTGTCGGTTAATGTTTCACAAGTCAAAGGAATGGCTAAAATTCTGATGAATATTATTGACAAATATACTAGTTATTGGAGTAGAACCTAACCGCAAACCAATTTTTATTTGCAAATTTATTTAATGCAGTAAAAATGATTTTGTAAATTAGTTATTTTAGTCGTTAAATATTGACTACACAAAAATGCCTCAGACATAATATGTACAAGACTACCAATAAAATCAGTTACAACATTGAATTAATTTAATAATAAAATTTTAAATGTTTACACTAAAAATGTTCCTCTTGTGTTGATATTGTGCATTAAATCGTATCTCTTCATCTCTGTATCTAATGTAGGAGTCAATGAAATTGCACTTGCATTGTTAACAACTATATCAATACCTCCAAATTTGCCAATTGATTTGTTAACAGCATCTGCTATTTGACTTTCGTCTCTTACATCCACTACACAAGGTAAACATTTTCCTCCAGCTTCCTCAACTAAAAAATTATAATAAAAAATTAAATTTAAATAATGATGAAATTATATTAAGTTGAAATAAATAAATTATAAATGTAGAGCTAATGTCTTTTTATAGTTTAATTTACATGAGAGGACTTTGGAGGTTAATATTAAATTAATTGGGTATCACAATATCATCATAAAGGTATTAACTAATTTTTATTCAATTAAATCTTATTGAAATGTGTTCTTATTTTGTTTATTCTCTCATGTTATGTAAATGTTAGAACAGAAGTATTGTATAAGAGTATTATATAATTTATATTTAACTTAAAATTTGAAGAAAAAAAAAATAATACGAAATACAAATATGATACAAATTAAGTATTGAATAAAAACAAAAAGAATTAAGAGTAGTTAACATGTTTTAATAGTAACTAGACTTTGTTATGTTGATAAATAAATAATTGGACTATGAGCGTTTTTAAACTCAGAAAAATTATTAGTCATTTTAATACTTTATTTATAAAACCAAGTTATTTCTGTGTCTCAAATTATGATTTAACTTAATTATATTGATTTTATATGCAATAATAAAAGCTAATTTTACTATTTTTTTATTGTAAGACAAATGTTTGAAAAAATGTACTCTTGAAAAGTTTAATGTGTACAAAACCATTTGTTTTCTCCATCTTACAAGTGTTTAACATACAAAATTTGAGCTCAGAAAAATTTATATTGTGTAGTTGGCTTTAATATTAAAGTGAATTAAATAATATTATCTGTGTTTATATGTCAATTACTTATAATATATAATTTATCAAGCAATTATCAGCATTTTCAAACTGTAATATTAAACTTGCCTACTCGGCTACTCATGAAGTTAAAACTAGCATTAGAAATGAATTATCATAAAAAATTAAAAACCAACATACAAATACCAATAATATTCTTACCTTTCAGACCAGTAAAAAGTAAAAATGCATACTAATATTAAAACTAATAATGTTTGAGATGAACAAATGAACATTAATTTACTATGTTACGCATTTGTAGGAGACATATTTGACAGAGACAACAAATGCGAATAAGAAGTTCTCATGATAAAAGTATATATGATAAATTAATAACTAAGCTTATTATAGTTATGTAACTGTTTAAGTTATGAGGTTATGACTTATGCAGCCTTATCATTATATATTTTATAGCCAAAAATGATACTTAATTTAAAATGAATAGGTAGAATTCTATAAATAATTTTATACAATGAAATTAAAAGATAATAGCAAAAGTTTTCTTTTTAAATTACTTTCTTTAGCAGCTGTGTATATAGTTCCTGGTAATTTTGGATGAGGCTCAGCGGTTTTAGCAGCAATAACAATGTTAGCACCATCCCTAGCTGCTTTTAAGGCTATTGCCTTACCAATACCCCGACTCCCACCAGTAATGAACAAAGTCAGTCCAGACAATTTTCTAAAAACAAAATTATAGTTAATATTAATATAAGATAAAAAAAAACTTAATAGTAATATAACATAATAAATGTAATTGCAATAAATATATAACAAACCCTGTGTTCAGCATTATGATGTGGAAGATAGTAATTTTTAAAATATTGTAAGTTATAACATTAAAGCTCAAGTCTTGTGTAGTTGAGTGCAAACACAATGATTGAACAATATATACTATTTGAATTTGTCTGAAATTCTATAACAAGGAAATAAAATAAAATAGCGTTTTAGTTGTTATCAATGGAAGGGCAGTATAAGACTTACAGGTGATCAGCAACAAAAGACCATGACCTACAAAATACAAATGTTATGTCCTCATAAAAGAACACACATTGTCATTTGTGTAACAAAAAAAAAAAAAAANATTTTACATCTAAAACACGTCTTTAAAATACATTTGGGTGAATAAAAAAGGTCGTAAAAAAAAAAAACAAAGTTACTGAGCAATAAAAAAATCTCAGTTAATTGAGGTAAATTTTTAATTTAATATTATTTAATATATGTGGTCAATTTAATGAATATATTAAAAAAATATATCTCCAGTCTCCATTCGTTGATTAAAAATTTAAAACAACTGTACTATATAGTACTATAGCAGGCTTGTAGCCTTGTAGATCGTAGAAATTATACCACCATTATTACCTAATGGATAATACCTATCGTAGTATTATACATATAGACATTTTTAGTAAATGTAAATACTTTAATTCTGAATAACTGAATTAGATTGTGATTTTAGATTTTTGTGACGTCTACAAAAGTTATTATCGTGAAATGCACTTCGATAGCATCAAGATGTATATTATACTATATATATATGTATAGATTTATTATCTATGACCACTTCACACTTGTTACAAATTTACAATACCACTGTTCTTTGGTCTTATCATTGGTAGTTGGTAATTGGTATTTATCATGATTCGTGATTCATGAATTCATGATAAAGTAAATTTACATTTTACCTTAATATGATTTATTATGGTCAAATTATAGTATTTGTTATGGTTTAACGTTTAACATCAAATTTTTTTTGTTCTTATATTTATAGTGTTTAAATTTAATTTATTGCTATGTAATATATATAATGCCAATCCATTAATCAATAAAAAAATAAGCATAAAGTAGACGAATATCTGGGTATACTTTAATATCGTATTAAGTCTCAAGAGATTTATTTCACCTTCGTCCTTCTCTGATTAGTTGCTTAAAGTAATAATAGCATATAGTAGGTATTTACTATTTACATCACTTATTAGTCAAAGAAACAAGAATTACAGATTTACAAATAATCATTACTCCACAGGTGTTATAAAATACTTTATAAAAATGGAGAAACACGTATTAGAAGAAGTTTCAAAATTGTAAGATACTTAAATTTATATCATATATTATTAGACTGATGTACTATCTATWAGTTTTAAAAAATTGTTTCTAATATTATGAATATTATACATAATAAATTAATAGTATTAATATTGGCTTAAGAATTATGTGTGTTAAACAATGTTACGTTTTATATATAAGTTAAAACAATAGTTAAATTATATTAAGAATATTAATCCTTATTTTTTTTCAGACAATCTGAACAAAATGTGCTCGGTGTTTTGGTATCGGATACTAAAGGATTATGTATTTTTTGTGAGTTATAAAATTGCTGTATAATATGAAGAATTATAACTAATCATTTTGGTTTTATCTTGAATATCTTGTAATATTTTTTATTTAAATATTAAGCTTCGGGAGAAGTTACTCCAGGAATCAGTGGACATATAACATTCATTGCAAATCAATTATCAAAATTAGATAAACACGATTTATATCCAACCATTGTATTAAAATCAGACAACAAGTAAGCAATAAGTCGTTTAAATAAAATCAATTTCTACTGTTAATATAATGTTGATGAGTAAAAATGACACTCACAGCTACATACCATTTACTCAATAGGGGATATCAATAATTTCTTGAAAAATTCAATTAAAATTGTTTTTATGTAAATTACAGCATTAAATTCTTATTAGACTGATAATTTAATTTTTGTTTTCAGGTCATGTTTGATTAAAGGCTGTGAAAATTCCTGTGTTTATGTATTGTATCAGAATAAATAGTATATTTTAAAGTTAGTTGTTATTCAGTCAGATGAAATGTCTAATTATATTTATATTTTTTCGATTATAAAATTTTCTTTTTAATATTATTGTTCCTCACTCTTTAAGCCTTAACAATTAAAAAATAAATTACAATTCTTTATTTATGTTTTACATCTTTATTCTATGTTTTGTGATACTATTTTAATTTATTATTATGACTAGTGTAGAATAGTTTCAACTGTGAAAACCTTGACAATGGAACTAATAATTAACACATTTTCTTTTAATCTTTGGGAGTTAGTATTACAGCCACTACTGTTAGTTAATAGTTATACAACATCAATAATACTGTAGACCAGCGGTTCCCAACCTGTGCACCGCGGTGCCCTGAGGGCTCCTCGAGCTCATTTAAGAGGCGCCACTGCTCATCCAAGAATGGAAAAAATTATTAAATTTTATATTAAAAATGTACTGTATAGTTGAAAAGACAAAAAATTATTTTACGTACAAAATTACTTAGAATACTATCTGTATCTATATCCAATATTAAATATAGTGTTTCTAATATGTGTCGAATAATTCAATAATAGATAAAAAAACTGCTAAACTTTCCAAAAATAAGCAGCCTCCAATATCTCATTAATTATTAGTTTTTCACTATTAAAACGGAATTTTTTTTTTTAATTTCAACAATAAAATTATTATTTATTAATAATATGTTCAATAAAATTATATAAATCAATTATGAATGAAAACTAGTGTTCATTTTTATCACGTTTCTCGTGATATTCACAGAAGGGCACCTAACAAAATTTGTTCAAACAATAGGGCACCGCCTGCTGTAGACTATAGTATACAGGTAGTGTTCAATAGTCAATACTATAGAAATTCAATGATATAATTGATATATACATCCAATAGGTCAGTAAAAGTAAATAACAAAATTTACTATTTAGAACATTATAAGATAAGATCCCAAACCTAGAACCAAATAGCAAAAGTAAATTATCTTTTACAGTATTTGATAGAACTTAGAAAATATGAGAACCAATCAAAATTCAACTATGGTAACCATGACAATTTTGAGTTATCACATATATCAATAAATTATCAAGTATTAAAATGTTGTGATCATTGACATATTAATATGTATATGGTTGTGACCCTAAGCTGTAGAGAAAATATTATCTACTCAACATAGTCGTGATAAACACATATTATAAATAATATAAATCATAGCACAGATAAATAYAACACATACTATTTAGATCAACAAATTTGGGTCYTGTGATCAGAACTCATAGGATAATGTGCTACGATCTTCGACAAGGCGTACTTAAATCCAAATTTGGGGGAGGGGGTTTAGTTATTAAATTTTTTCTCATTTTTTGACCTGACACCTGAACATAACAAAACATATCTTAAATTTTAATAAAGTACTGTTTTTATTCATTTTATTATTTTTAATTGACTTCTTTGTTTATTTTAGTCTTCTCATAATAAAAAAAATTAATTTTAAAAATTTTGGGGGTTATCCCTCCCATAACTACGACAGTACGCCACTGATCTACGATCTTGCTAAACTGTTTTTGCTAGGTAATGAGAAWACTAAACTAAGTACTGAATCATAGTCCATAGGTACTCTAAGGCATAAATCATAATGAATACTAATAGGTAGTTTATTTTTACCTCTTTTATTATCTATAATAAATGTATATTTATGTTGTGATAACACATTGTTTGAGGTTATTAGTAGTTATTATTTGATAATATTATAAAGTAAACAAGGTGAACAATTAAATTTTAAAATTGTTTATTTCATTATTTGTGTTGTATACGTCTTGTGTCTTCTATTATACATTCATGCAATCATGATTCATGACGTTGACGTATAATATCGTGTATATTTTTTTCAAACATGTTGAAAAATTTTAAAACTATTTTAGTATATACCATTATGTGGATATTTTAAGGAATATTAATCATATCAATTTTTTWAAATATGTATTTCCAACTTTTATCGTACTTCATATTTTCATTAGTTGCTGTGCTAATTTTACTGTTTGTGTCTATTGTTGTGTTACGATGGCACTACGCTAGCAACAAGAGGAAATGTCCAACTCAATTTAGCTTAGCGTTTTTCCATCCTTATTGCAATGCTGGTGGAGGTGGTGAACGTGTACTATGGTGTGCCGTCAATGCTGTTAGTACTGCATACCCTAAAGTAAAAATTGTTATCTACACTGGTGACTTGGAAGTATCCCCAGTAGAAATAATTAAACGAGCAAAACAGAGATTTAACATAACACTTCCAAATAATTTAGAATTTATTTATCTGCACAGAAGAAAATGGGTAGAAGCTGAAAATTACCCTTATTTCACTCTCCTAGGACAAAGTCTTGGATCTATCGTCTTAGGAGTTGAGGCTTTGCGTTTATTTCAGCCGGATATATACATTGACACTATGGGTTATGCATTCACATTACCTCTGTTTTGTATTATTGGTGGTTGTAAAGTYAGTTGTTATGTTCATTATCCAACTATAAGTTCGGATATGATAAATAAAGTAATTCGGCAAAAAGGAAAACATAGAACAATATCTTATATCAAACTCATATATTATCAGTTATTTGCAAAGCTATATGGCTTAGTTGGATGGTTTGCTGATTCTATCATGGTTAATAGTTCATGGACTGAGGATCATATCAATACACTTTGGAAGCGGCCTCTAAGCACTTACAAAGTTTATCCTCCGTGTGACACATCTGACTTACAATATTTGCCATTAGAAAGACAAAAAACTAAATCTGTKAAAATTATAAGCTTAGCACAATTCAGGCCAGAAAAAGATCATCCATTACAACTCAAGGCCATGTACAATCTCAGACAAATTGTAAATGAGCATGTATGGGAAAATATTGAACTTGTTTTTATTGGTTCAACAAGAAATCAAGAAGATGAAATGAGGGTTGTTGACATGAAGGATCTGTGTAAACATTTGTCATTAGAGAATAATGTAAAATTTAAAGTAAATATCAGTTATGACGAACTTAAAAACGAACTCTCTGAAGGTATGATGATTATAAAAATAATATGCAAGTTTAAAGTGTAAAAACTAATATTTTATTTTTCTAGGATTGATTGGCTTGCATGCAATGTGGAACGAACATTTTGGTATTGGAGTAGTAGAATGTATGGCAGCAGGATTAATAATGATTGCACATCGTTCTGGTGGCCCTTTAATGGATATAATTATAGAAAATGGTGTTGGACAAAATGGATTTTTAGCTTCAAATGAAATTGAATACGCACATGCTATACACAAAGCACTGTTGTTGTCAGATACTCAAAAATTGTCATTACAAAAGGCTGCCAGAGGATCAGTAAATCGGTTTTCTAATCAACAATTTCATGACAATTTTTTGAGAGCAATACAACCATTGTTTAGTTTTAAAAAATTTAAATAGTAAATTATTTTTAAATAAAAAGTTTAATAATGACATTTTGTTATTCCTTTCAATGATAATGCTTTAGCACTTTTTCAAAAAAAAAAAAATTATGATAGTATTAAAAAATTTAACATTTGATTTATAATGTACATTATATATTATTAAATCAATACTATCAACYATTACTATACAATTAAAATTTACTATTCTGAAGCGGAAAGCTAATGGTTTTTTTAAAATCTAATCCACAACATTTTATTGCATATTATATTTCATGATAATTTAAAGATTTCGTAGCTATATTTTTAAAAAATAACTGTCACAACAGTTAAAATATAACACGTAAAATCATAATTTATAAAATTAATTACAAAATATTATGTCACTATGACACTATATGAATGTGTTTTATAGAATAACTACATATTTGTTATTATGTTTTTTTTTCAAATATTTCCAAAACTAAATTTAAAACTTTTTTTGGGTTGATTAATAAATATGTATTATTGTTATTATTAAAATTAATTTTAAGATTTTAAGAAATTCAGAAAGTTTTGAAACATTTTTCATGTTGTGTATTTTCATAATGTTTCCAAACTTTCTAGTTACTATGTTTCCTATATGTGTACATTATATATTTATTTATATATTGTGTATAATTGTAATTATTTAATACAAATAAACTTTAAGGAAAATGACTTAATTTATTTGATCCTTTTTTTCAAAAGTTGTTTTATGTACGAGCAATTAAATGTATAATTTCTGCACAACCTTTATAATTACTTTATACTTTACTGTAAATTATATTTTTATGAGAACAAATTTAAATATGTGTTTATTGAGATACATATAGCTATATTATAATTAAGACTAGAATGTATTTGCATTTGCATGTTTTTTTCTTTAAGTTCAAATTGATTGTCAGATATAGTCAAAATTTGAATTTTCAATTAAAACTAATTTTTTTTTTTTGCATACTTCGATCATATTGCTTATAAATGCAATTCTTGAGTATCTTATTAATTTTTTATAAATCAGCTTTTGATAAAATTATTTTAAATGAGAAACATTATTTATAAATGTAACAGGAAAGTAGGTATCATAATTGGAAAAACTAAAATAGGTTTGGTATTAAAAAGAATAAAGGTTTCAAAATACTAAAAAAATTGTAGCATGAAATGGAAGAAGTCAGAAGATATTAATATTRATTGTGAAGTTAAGTTATCTGAACTTTAAAACTAATCGAGTCATAACATTGTGTGACATGAAAAGAAGTCTTTGTAAATAGAAATCTCAAGTTCAAATTTCCAACCATTCATATTTGAACATTTGAAACAACATCATAAAATTAACATTGTGGTATATTTAATATTATAATATAATAGATGGAATATTATAATATGAACTAATATCATAGAACAATAAATAAATAATAATGCTAATATTCAATGTAATAATAATGAGTTATGATAAAGAAATAATAGAATTAATTTTTGCATGTTTGRTAAATAAAATTTTTTATTAYATACCTAAATATTGGCTCTTATTATAATTAATACATTTATAGAAGTTAACCGTTTCTAAGGGGAAAATAAAAGCCAAAAAATTAAATAAGGGTCAAGGATAATTCAGTCACCAGTCAATTTATCGTTTTTATTTGTTATCATATTGGCTTTGGCCTTTACATTATATTTATGAATATTACGTAATATATATCGTGAATTCAGTTTTCCGTATTGTTTTGGGGAATAAATATGTCAATGTTTTTCCATTAGTATATTTGAAGGGTTTTATTTTTTTAGTTTAGACAAATGTTGGTCCATAATATTCAAATATTATTACTGATGACTGGCAGATATCTATTAATATAATATAATCATATTACTTTATGAAATTTATATTTATCTAAGTTGCTGGATCTAATTGGAAATGTTTACCCAGCTTACTTAACATTTCGACTAAAACGTCAAGTTTATTTCATTTCAAGAAAGGGTAATATTATCACCAATTAATGATCAAGTCAATAAAATAAATGACATGATACTGCTAAAATTCAATGCACCAACAAAAGTTTACTATTTYGTTGACACTATTGTCTGTTTTCGATATAGAGGAGGTGATACAATTATCCAACTGAATTTTTAAGTTCTTTATYTCTTTCAGGGACTTCACCACACAAATTAATTTTAAATGTAGATTATCCAATAATTTTACTTTGTAACTTAAGTCCGCCTAAATTATGCAAGATACAAGATTAAAAATAAAATCTTCTAAAAATTGTCTGCTTGAGTGTATAATCCTTACTGGCAAAGGAGCTGGAGAAATGGTCTTGGTTCCTAGAATACCAATGATACCAACCAATTTGACATTCCAGTTCAAACCGCTCCAATTTCCAGTGAAATTAAGTTTTGCAATAACTATTAACAAGGCACAAGGTCAAATATCAAACGTTGCAGGTTTAGGCTTAACCGTYCAGTGTTTTTCCCATGGTCAATTGAACGAAGCTCTGTCACATATCACATGCAAACAAAATCTATTTGTGCTGGCCCCAGAAACACTTAACCTGATGTATCCAGAAATATTTAATGCTTAAGACAAATTGATATAATTGACCAAAAAATAAAAATCATACATCATAACGAAATGAATATATTCCACACTTATATATAAAATTATAGTTTTAATTGGTTGCTCTCGATATTGATATTAGTGAATCGACATATTATAATATATACATACATATATATATTAATGTTTTTAAAATATTTTAATTTTTAAGTGAGTTATGAGCATTTTAGAATATTAATATTTTAATACTCATAACWMACWTTGTAGAATGGATCATGGATCTAAGAGCCATTTGATCAGATTGCTGATTGGTCCTTTATAAGCCAGTCCGACTATCGTTGTAAGCTTTAGTTATTGATGCTGTACCAATAAAAAAATGTATTTTATAGTTTATAATTATAATAAAAATTAGTATAATATTGTATTATAATTTTGTAATTTATTTTAGTTTTGTAATTTATCATAATTAAAAATAACAATAAAATTATTATTTAATTTGTTTTTTAGGGAAATTTACAAATGTTAATTAATTCTTAATGAGACAATAAATGTTTATGGACCATCTGTTCTTTGTTAATGAGATGAGTAGTATTGTTTACTAGCTTCATGAGGTCATTAAGTCCAAATGACCAATCATTCAATACTTCGTTTACAGATTTTCCAACTGAAAATTCAACCACACCAGACGGACGATCGATTTTAGCTTTTACAGATTTATCCACGACCATGTTAGATAGTAATTGTTCAGTATCCTGCATCAGATATTTAGAAAATTACAAATTAAAATCAAATCATTTAAAGTTAAATCAGAAAAGGATAATCATATAATTCATCTAACCTCTAAAGTCATATCTAATAATTGAGACATTCGAATAACTCTGATTCTTGAATAATATTTGGCCATTACGCGAACATTCTAAATTAATATATATCAACAAAGCAACAATTATAATTATTAATTAKCAAACAATTTTAAGCAGGTATAAAAATTAAATCAAATTTAGTTCAAACTTTTAGCTCATATTTTAATACATACGTGTTCAGCAACTCTATTTTTAAGATCAATCCAACGTTTTTTTCCTTTTTCAGTGCTTTCTGAAAATACATCTGTAGCTGTAGATCCAGATTTTAGTTCAGTTTCATAATCCTTACTCAACTCCTTCCATTGAATCAACTCCATAGTGGTAAATAATTGAAGAAATGATCTATTAATAATAAACAAATAAAAACCATACAAGGACATAATAATATATTAAATATAAAATTAAAAATACATACTTGTACTTCGGTATTTTTTGTAAAGTTTCATCTTCAAGAATTCGGTGAGTTAGATCAGACTGATGATTATCATATGGAGCTAATATGAGGAATAAAATTGCATTTTGCAAAGCAGCATTGCATTTTGTTTCATCGGCATTAATCTCAGGAGTAACTTGAATAGCTCTATAGTGACGGCAAATATCTAAATATTGACCATCATGTTCACCCAGCTCAATCATTAATCTGTAAAATGCATTTAATAATAACTATTTAAAAACTGAACGAACATTCTTACTTGTAGTATTTTAATTTAAGCTGTTGTATTTCAGGTTTATCATCATCAAAAAACTTTGTGTTTATTTTCTTGGATATAATCTGAGTACGAATATAATCTTTCTTAGCCAAACATAATCGCATCTGTTCTAAAATTAGTTCAACTTTTTCTTGTTTTTTCATTGAACCATAAGTCTCCACCTGCAATTCTTGAATGACATTTGCAGCGCCAGTGACATCGCCTTCATCCTCTTTAATTTGAGCCAATTTCTGTGTGAGACGAGCCCTTTCTACTTCCACATATATCTGAATAACAAAATTAAATAGTGAATTTGTACTTAACTATAAATATTTTAATTTTAATAAAGTTAAATAACAGTTTAATTTGTAACATCAGATTATTTTTATTTCAAATAAAAGTTGAATTATTTACTTTTCCTTCAGTGACGTTTCTGAGGGATTCAATTAATTTCAATTTTGTCTCTTTATCTGGTGTTTGGTCAATGAACGTACAACATTCTCTGACCATAGCTGCAACTGAAAGTTTTAACTGTGATCTTCTTTTAGTTAACATAACTATATGTTCATTAAGTAATGCCCATTCTTTAGCTTCAAAACATAATTTTACAATAGCAACCAAAACTCGACTAGTTGAAGCCATATCAGATCCCTTAAACATAAATAATATATTAGACAGTTGATTCTTTATTTAAAAATAGGTAAATGAGYGATGGTAAAAATTACCTATTACCCAAACAATTTATTTATCTTAAATATAAAATCAGTAGTATCTTATAGGTATAGACTTTCAAACAGCTCATAATACATTTTATTCACCCTTATGTATTATAATAATAAAAATGTAAGCAACAAATTATAATATAAAATGTAAACTCATTCTATTGAAACTGATAAAGTAAAACAGTATACAATCTTTCAAAATTCAGATATGAATGACATACATAATTAGGCACAAACATTAAATAGGTGCCTATTTAAAAATAAATGAATACATATACAATAT